CCCGAACCTCTCCTGCAGCCGAACCCCCTGCCCTGAGCCCCCTGCCACACCCCGTACCCCTCCTGCACCCCAACCCACAGCCCTGAGCTCCCTGCCGCACCCCTCCTGCCCTGAGCCCCCTGCCGCACCCCACATCCTGACCCTAAGTGAAAAAGGAGTGCAGTATCTGGCCCTTACTGTATACTTACACAAAAACCTCTCTGATTACACAACACTGGTATCAGCTTTTGTGACATTTAAACTGCATGATAATAGTTTAGCATGTCTAATAGTTTAAAAATGATTAGCTTTATTTTATAATTTAAATAGTTTCAGAGTTCACTTATTCTGTATTAGCTGCAAAAAAATTAAGAGTTCACAACAACAATCTAAAATATGCTTAAATATTAACTGTAATGGTCTAGAAAAGAACAAGTCCATTACAAAAGCAGAGACTTGCTTTAAATACCAACCTGGTATCTAGCAATTCAGGAGTCCTAAACTTCCATAAGGAGACTTATCAAACAAACATTCAGATTTGCAAAAAGTGTAAATCCTTAAAACTAGAGCAGAAAACTCACCAAGTTAATTTAAGATACTGCTCCGCTGATGCCTCACATTGTTAGAGACTACAAAGTGGAATTGACCTTGGTGCAGTAGATTGTCTTATAAATATGAAAAAGTGCTCATCCAAAGCTCTAAGTGCATTTATCATATATTAAAAATACTAAAATAAATGCAGTAGACTCATAATAATGGGGGGCAGAATACCTACACCAGCCTCACATCCTCACTCTTTGCCCATATAACCTGACCAACCAAGGAAAGACATGGACCTTAAAAAAAGATCTGGGCTACTTGGGAATATACTTACACCTTGAGGTTCCCTCAAGCAGAGGAAGATATGATTCATCACTTACTAGGCCAGAGACTATTTCTGAGGTGGTTCCAATTACAAAAAATAAAGTGCCTTTACCAAAGTATACCTTAATGATAATTCTACCTTTGTTCTATTCCCTTCCTCCATTTCCCCCTATTTCTATCATACTGCTGGTCTGCTCCTGCATAACTTTACTCTTGTGTACCATTTACCCTTTCAAACAGAATATTGTATATTACATCCAATGGTCTCTGGGGACATACAAAAACACTGAGATAACTGGGTTTGGATAACTGGGGAGAATGTGTCTGAAGACTTCTAGGTGCCTCTCTTTACTACAGACAGTTGGTCAGCTTAGCAGAGCTGCTAGAAGAGGGGTCTAGTGCTGAAGCTCCACGGAACTCCGTTCATCCAGATGTTACGATTTCTACGCAAGTGCTACTGCTACACAACTCCTAAGCAACTCCATTTTGTAGAGTGAAGGAGCTAGGCAGGATTGGAATCTCATGGATCCCAATAGCTTCCTTTTCCATCTCTACTTCACCTGAGGATGGGCTATCAACAGGGAATGGCGAATTCTCAAAATTTCATCCAAATCTTTACCTGAAATTCCCAGAGAACATTACCTTGTTTTAGGTAACAGAAGGGTTTTGGATGCTCAAAATACGATACAAGGTAGAACATAGCAATGTGACAACGGGATTATAGAATGCAACTGCCAGCAGGATTAAGGAGAGTATCAGTGTACTGGATATACAGCTTAACAACCAAGGAAACTAGACAGAATACCTTCAGCAATCTTGAAAAGTTTGAAGATAAGGTACACTTTTCACCAGAGCTCGAAAAATCCACTCATATGCTACATAGTCATGGTGAGTTTCATACTTGTCAAACAGGGAAACAAACACCATCAACTTTGGCAGAATCTAAGCTTCAATTTAGAGTATTAAATTTCTAACACGTTTGATTGCAAAGTACGATAACCTTCCGAATGTGAAATAAATGTGAACTGTTGCAGTGC